CACAAAGTTTCAAAATAAATAAAACTAACACCAACGTTATACTTTGCTTTCAATTTTATTATTCTACTATCAATGCTTTTTAATTTTCGTTTATTTTTAGTCACGGCATAGCGGCTCGTAGAATGGCTCTGAGTTTTGTTTTATCTTCAAGTACAAACTTTTATATCATAGTTCCGTCATCTATTGACCGATTTGAGATCTGATTACAGTTTTGAACTCGGGAGGTCAAACCCTTTCGATTAATTTATTTGACCAAGACCAAGGTCTCTAATAATACCTAAAACAATTTCAGTTTAAGAGTAGGCTGGTAAAGATCCTGATGAGTAATGAATACGCTTGGTATTGCTGGCGCACAAAAATATAGCTAATAAAAAGGAAAAAAAAAAGCCTCGTAGACTAATTTACTCGAATCCTGCCTAATATAATATCAAGTGCCGCGGCTATTGAGGATTCCCTCTGGTTTAAGTTACTTTCCCTGTGTAATTTTGGGATTGTTTTCTTCAAACTGCAGTTGGTTACGTGTACAATGTTCGTGAATGTGTCTGAAAAGAAGTGGAGGAACCTGATGTGTTCCTTAATTATACTGTTTAAGTTGCATCCAGTTTCACCTATGTAGAAACAATCACATTGTTTGTAAACATTTATAAATAATTACATGATTGTAGGGATATGTGCAAACTATCTTTAATAACTCCATATTACTTTTACTTTGTTTCTGGACAAATAAAACTTTGTTGTTAAATTAGTTTTAAACTTGTCTCAAGTTTTCATAGTATATTATGTAATATATCCACACGTTGGTAAGACTCCTATTACAGTGACTTTTTTTTTTATTAGTTACATTTTCGTGCATATTTTGGTGGTTATTATTTTGAAATTTCCTTTTACGTATATGTAATGTTTCTAATTTGTCGTTTTAGAAAATGGCAGTTTTAATTTCAAAAATTTCAGAAATAAGCTTTATTTTTTATGTAAACTGTTTTTCATGTATAATTATAAGTCTATATTGTAGATACACGCAAGATTCTAAATTTTCTGTTGTATCTAGCGGGTGATATCCATTATGTGTACTTGTCGTGTTGATGGGATTTACAATATACGTTAGGGTTGAAATCTTCCTCAATCATGTTTATATTAATGCTTAAAAATGAATAATTTGTTTTCGTGTGCAAATGTTATATTTGGATAAATACGCTTTATATTATTTGTTTGATGTTTTCATTTTAATGTTTCGCCCTCCCCCCCAGTAGCACATAGGTATGTCTGCGGACTTACAACACTAGAATCCGCGTTTCGACACCCGTTATGGGCAGAGCACAGATAGCTCATTGTGTAGCTTTGTGCTTAACTACAAATAAGCAATTGTATATATCTGAAGGCGTTTCGTGTATATTCGAACTGTTTTGTGGGCCCGGCATGGCCAGGTGGTTATGGCAGTCGACTCGCAATCTGCGGGTTCGAATCCCTGTCCCACCAAACATATTCGAAAGTCACGAAAGTCGTATTTTTTGACAGTACAGCACGCCTGTTTCCTTCAAACGAAGGGCCCGGCATGGCCAGGTGGTTAGGGTGCTCGACTCGTGATATGAGGGTCACAGGTTCGAATCCCCGTCACATCAAACATGCTCGCCCGTTCAGCCTTGGGTGCGTTATAATGTGACGGTCAATCACACTACTCGTTGGTAAAAAAGTAGCCCAAGAGTTGGCGGTGGGTGGTAATGACTAGCTGCCTTCCCTCTAGTCTTTCACTGCTAAATTAAGGATAGCCATCGTGTAGCTTTGCGCTAATTCAAAACAAACAAACAAACAAACCTTCAAACGACTCTGCTGAATCATAGATAATATATTTGAAAACATAAAAGATCCAGATAAATTCAGTACTAGCAAAGCTGCTTATTAACTTCTGTGGTGTATAACAACAGGTAGATGGTCTATTATTCTAGGTATGAAGAGCGAAATATATTCTAAAATTTTTTTAAAATATCGTGATATTTACAGAATGGTAATGAAATTGTATGCTCAACACATCGCTATATTACTAGGGACTTGGAAGAAAATCATTTATTTCTCCATCCCATCCATCATGATTTTTATGGACCCTGTTGCCTTCACTGTCATAACCGTATGACTCTATAGCTTGACTTTTTACCATTTGTATTTCTTGTTTTTCCTCTGAATTCGAAGTGGCAATGATATATATAGTACAAGACAAGTAAATACAAGGACCGATTCTTGAAATAAGATAAATTTACGGAGCACACGAACTTCATCAGAAACTGGCGAATTATACAAGTAAACACAAGAACAGAATCGTCAAAGAAGTTGTTACATCACAAGAGTAATAAGATAAATAGGTTATTATATCTGAAAATGTGCGAGAACGTACCAGCTAAAGTTGTTCTTAATTTATTCAATTTTCAATATAGCAGATTTTTTAAACAAAAAGTTTTCTATTCATTACGCGCATGTTCAGAGCTTTTTGAGACGTTCCCATATCTTGGAAAAGGTAATTTTATAATATACAAATAATGCCAATGGGTCTTTAAAACTTGTCAGTTCTAATTTAAATTTGATTAAGAACCAATATCAATAAGGAACATCGTTCTTTGTAACTGAGCAACGAGACAAACCCTTACCAATCGAAGCATGAAAACAAGACAGGCCAGTTCGCTTAAACTACTTAGAACTCAGTTAAGTTCTAGGAATTAGTGGAAATCATTTCAATCTCCGTCCTGTTTAAGCTCTTTTATTTTTCTGATACTGTGATGTCTTTTTTTTTTTCAAACGAATCTTTGTTTTTGTTTTAACTATATATTAAGAAAGTTTGATATAAAAGTAAAATAATTTTAAAAAAGACAAAACATAATAATATAAACACTAGTGAAGACAATTTGGTATCACAAACTGACTTGAAATACTTAATGTTATAAATAAATTAGCCAGAAAACCAAAACATATAATAACGAAATCGTATTGAATCATTACCTGTGAAACCTCGCTGTGATCGACATTTTTGGCCGTAATTCCAATAATATTGCCGAGGTTCTGCCACCTTAGAATATTTAGAACAGTCTTAAATCCTCGAAATAAGGCAATAATGAAAATAATCTTCATAACTGTAATTGTTATTCAAAAGGTTATTGAAAAATTATTATGAAAACTAAAGTGAATAAAGGTTATTGATAATCGTATTGAAAATAGAATAGGTTATTAACTAATTCGGACGTTTTTATTTCCACACACGCCATCTATTTTACTTCTCAGTAATGAAAATGTCATTTTAAATCTAGCTGTGACGTTATTCTCACAAATTTATTGTTTTATTTCCGTAGATACCGCTATACAAATTTAGTTAATTTGATATTTTATGTTTTTCTAACCCTTAACATTCTGGATATTTCCTTAGTTGTGTATCATTAGAGTAGCTACAGAATAAAGTCCTTGCTTATTCTTACTTATTAAATTCTAATGTTCTTCGTACCTTTTCATTCTGATTCTATAAGTAACACCTTGGTAAAACCACACTATACGTTCTAACAATTAGGTTGCAACACAATGTTTAACGATTCCTTGGATTCAAAACCTATGGCTGCTGGCTGGTTATTGAAACTTTAGCTATACAGTAGGAAGTGGTACTCAATATTTAGCAGTAGTAATAGTCAAATTCACCAAACTTTAAAGTAAGACAGATCAATTTTTATTTTTAGCTTAATTAAAACTAAGGTATTACGATGATGTTATTCCTTTAAAGTCATTACTAGGCTACGAATTAAGCTTCTTCCAAACACGTTGTTTATTTCTTGTGATTCGACTATTTAACGCTGACTGGTTATGGTTTAGAAGCATGTTTGTTCTTTATGGTCTGCTTACGTAATGTCGACTAGGAATTGTTTAGACTTTCGAATACTTTTCTGTTTCAAGGCATCTGTTTCATTCGAGATTCGGATTTCTTTTTGGCGTTTGTCGAAATGTCTACAGCGTCAGAACTTAGTCTAATGGGAACTTCGATATTCATTTTGAAAATGTGTGTGTTCACTTCTTTAAGTATACCTATTTTCTTTAAGTAATTGCATAAAAAATATCATTTTCTTTGAAAGCTGTACATCCATTTTTCATAAACGTACCCACCCCCTTTTAATATATGTTCTTCAATAGGGCATTGCGGTGAATCACGAGCTGGGTAAAGAGGTACAATGTAGAAAAGCGGGAGAAGAACGCGAAACCACATATATAAATATCAGGGGATATACTGCTTCGTCAGCAACTAGCGCTTAGTTATGCCTTTCTATTCCTTAGCGAGAGCCGATTTTCATCAGCTGATAAAAGTTGAAGTCTGGTAATTAGCATTAAAATAATAATAATCCTAGTTTTTATCCATTAAGAAGGCAGTTCCATCTGTCGAAATAGCTAGAAAATGCGATGTACTAAACTGATTCGATTCTACGTAATTATTTTACTATCGTATACGTTAGATTGCACCTTCATGAGATATGTTACCTCCACTCATTGTTTTATTTTTGTAGGTGGCTAACTACCATTGTGTAACACTTTAAGAGGAACCAGGCTAGTTCTAAACCCTTTAACTCTTGGTCGAACTTTTACTCATTGCTGGAGGTGAAACATTAATCTGTTCTGATTTGGAAATTTTAAAGGAATTTAGATACATTTGCTTTACATCTCTCTAAAAATCACCCATAAGATCATAAGTAAACAGCTCACTGGTTTCTGCATACTTTCTAAGTTTAAAGCTGTGCGATTTTTGATTAGACAGTTTTGATGATTCTTATTCTGATACCTTTTTATTGTCATACTTTATTATCATGAGAATTATATTTTTTTAAAAATATAATAGCAATAAAAACGGAGATTTGCATAGAGTCAAAAAATGTAAATTTATTCTTATGTGATTCTAAAACGGAGCAATACATTTTTAATCATGACTACTGCAAGATACTCCAATATTTAATTGTTTTGTTATTCTTTTTTTTTTCGTCATACAGAATTTCCGGAATTTATAGCCATAGTTGGAAGCAGTGCTGAACTTCTATGTAATGTAAGTCGGCCAGGACCCGATGATGCCGTGTCTCTTGTTCTCTGGTACAGGACAGATGTGAACGCACCGATATACAGTGTTGACGCCAGGAACGGAAATCTCATGGATGCCAAACATTTTTCGTCAGACATTCTTGGCAGCCGAGCTTTCTTTGATCTCCGTAGCCAACCTGCTATCATGAGAATCGATCCCGTCGAGGAGAAGGATGGAGGAAAGTACAGGTGTCGTGTAGACTATCGCTGGGCAAGAACTTTGAACAGTGCAGGCACTTTATCCGTCATAGGTGAGAACTCGAAAAGATTACTTTATTAAAGTGTAACGTAAGAATCGTTAGTTTTATGCTGTTAGTTTTGTGTCTGAGAATTTTATCTGTGATGTTTATAAACAATCTTTGGGTCTATATTAGAACTCCCGCTCTTTACGAATTCCAGTTTTCTCTAGCCTTTGAAGTCTTCTCATATCACCAAAAGAAATGAAAACCGAGAACTAACAGGATTCGAATCACGTTCTTACTAACCAAATAAAAATCAAATTTTAATTTCCATGATTCCGAACGCTAACTGAAGAGGTTCTGTTAAATATCAAGAAAATCATATTTTTCGCCGCTTCTTTCGTAATTTTTCGTACTACATCAGGGCCGTAGGAAGCGGTAAAGCCAGTCAGGTATTTCAGCTTGACCACTTTTTCATGGCATGTTTAGATGAAACTTATGTATTAAAACTTGCTTTTTTTTAATTCAATACATTATGTTGTATGTATGCCGTAATTGTAGTTAAAATGGCTCCAGATTCAATATAGCATTAAATTTTCAAAACTTTTCTGGGGGGCATGCCCTCCAGACTCCCCTAGATATGGAAATGTGGCAATGGCCTGACCATTCAAAAAATACTTGCTATGGCAATGTACATAGCAAAATTAATGATTAATGATATGATTTTTTAGTATTTGAACTAATTTACTGCTACTTTATAGTTATACCTATTTAGGATATTTTTTGTTTTTGCAGGCATTGTTCTGATGAAACTAAGATACGATATTTTGGTAAAAACAATAATAAACAGAGCTTGTCATGACGAAAGTGTATGAATATTTGCAAAATTATCTAATTAAGCAAAATATTTAATTATTTTTAAATTTTATTGTCTTCATAAAATATGGCAAATAGCGAAATATTTCTTGAACTAAGGTTACAACAGAGGGCATTTATTGTATGAGAGTTTATATGAGACAACTGATAATAATTTAAACTAATTTAATTTAACAGACTCTGACAACTTTTATAGCTTGTAGTGAAGATACGGATGAAAAAAAAAATATCATCCTACGATAGCAGCAGTCTCTGAGGGTCCTTATCATGCTTGTCATCAGAGATTGTTCTGCCCACCATAATCATGAAGGCATGAAAGCAAGATTAACAATTTCGGGAGGATGACTAATTTTATTTTTAGGCTCAATGAATCAATAAAATGTTTATGTTAAATATAAATGGGAAACCTGTATCGAAACTCCACAGAAATCCGTTAATGTTCGATAACTGTTTTCATGGAAGTATTTTTAATTTTCTTGATCAGGATTTGGATTTTGTGTTTTCAGTCAAAAATTGCACTTGGTGAGACCACCCAATGTAAACTTGTTATAAGATCTATATTTTTAAGGTGTTCCAGCTGGAGCTTTAAAATCTAATAATTTCCTGTAGTTGATCTAGGCTTACACCTCAATCACTTAAGTATTAAGTGTTTTGATCACATTTGAGTTGTTTTGTTTTTCTTACAATTCGAAATGTTCTGAATAGCAAAAATACATTTATAGCTTTTGTTTTACAACATATATAGTAGGTAGAAACAAAAAATATCTTTGTAGCTTTTAGTTTCGTTTTATAACATATATATGGCATGTAGAGAATGTTGTGTACTAACTGGCATTTACATATAAAGATACTTGTTATTAATCTAAACAAAATATCATTCACTTCTAAAACATAGAGAATGATTTGATTTTTGCTTGTTTGTAGTTAAGTACAATTTTAGCGTCATAAACCCATAAGTTTACGGCTGAGCCACCAGGCTGTGGAGAAAGCTTATTTGACATCATATA